TGTGCCATCCATCCCCGCAGATCGACGTCACCCGAATCGTATATCATCCGAATTCGTAAAGAATCCCAGAAGAAAGACGCACGAGCCAAGGAGCCGTAGTTGGAGAGGAAGTGACTTTATGCGTGGGATGTACGGTATCATTGGTGGGATGAACAGAATAAAATGGACGACGCTATCGCGATCATACGATCACTGAATCTGTCACGTCTCTGGGAACTTTCCTTGTTTTTTTTATAGAGAATCGTAGGAGAATTCAGGAAATATGTATGAATATTAATATTGAACACAACGATCAAAAAGTTCTTTTAATAAAAATTATAAAAACTTATAATAAAAAGACTTCTATAATAAAAAATCTAATGGATAGTAGTTAGTAATAAAATATTACTAACTACTCTAGTTTGTAAATGTTGAAAAGAAATTAAATTGTATATAATTCGTAATTTAGTTTCATTTTCGATAAACTGTACCTGTACGATTTCGTAACTGCATATAAATTGTATCAAAGTGATAGTCTTTAAATTGATCGGGCCGTGTCGTAACCAGCGACGGCTTCTTCAAAGCGAACATTTCGGGGAAGAACTTGAACGACGAAGAGATTCATGGTCGGTACTCCGACGATCGGAGGGGTGGTCCCGGGGGTAAATTCGAAGCTCTGTCACGTTAATTCGAGCCTGCGACGAAGGCGTCCGCGGTAAGCGGGGCGTGATTTGTATGGCCTCCTTGCATAATGATGACAGACGAGGGGGCTCGTTTTGCGACACGTGCGCAGACACGTGAGCGAGTCTGCGAAGCGCGTTGGACTGTGACACGTCGGCGCTTGGCCCTTGGCCCTGATACTACCACCCCCTTGAGAATCCCTCTTCATCGTCCTGTTCTACATATCTCCTCGAACGTCTCTCTGACGAGTAGAGTAGATACGCATCGATGAATGTATAGCCGGTATTACTGATGATAAGGATAACATTTGTATCGTAGTTCGTGTCACCGTGAAAGTTATTCTTTGCGAGGTTTTAAATATAAAATAATTTCCAAAGATTTTTTTTTCCGCAATCTGCGTTTGTAAAAATCTGCAAAGTGTTAAATATCATGTTAGAAAAATGTTAATGTTAATAATACACGGTAGAACAAATTTATTGGCATAGCAAGGTTGGGGTACAGAAAATGAATTTTAAAATTCCCTGACTTTTCCAGATAAAAATGGGAAATTTTCATGACCAATATAAAAAAATGTAAAAAATTTTAATATTTAAAATCAACGATTGTAAGAAAGCTTGTATTATTAACAAAAAATAGCGATCAAATAAAATTACTTGAATAAAATATAAATTTTCGTTTTTTTTAAATTTTTTTAAAGTGCACGAGTTTTGAACGTATTTAACTATAAACATCAGATATAATATTTAAAAAATTATAAAAATTATTTGAAATAAGAGTAGTTTAAGAGAATTGTGAGCAAAGTTCAAAATTCCAGTCTCTCTTATATTTTCCCTGACTTTTCCCGGTTTTCCATTTTCTTTTTAATTTCCCTGACTTTTCTCAGTTTACCTGATTTTTCAGATTATGAGGTATTTTTTATGCTGCCATGATAAACGACACATGTTAATCATCCTATAATAATTAAAAATCAAATAAATCTTAAATATGTAAGAATTTGTCATTGCTTGTGAAATTATTTATATGTAATTAAATAAAATTCACTCGCAAACTTAATAAAATCCGGTTGTATGTTTAATAGTGCAAGAAAGTTCCATTTACTTTCGTAATGATTCGAACTTCGAAACCATGACGGCTAATTAACATTTGGTAATCGCGGTAGAATTCGGTGGGATTTAATCAGATTTTCTGATGATGTATATGTATGATATATACATATATAATAAGTGCGTAAGAATGTGATTTGCTTGCTTCGGCTTGCACTTTCATTTTCTTACTTCGTGTAAACGAGGGTAATAGAAGAACACAAGGATATGTGAAAACCGGGGGTGCGAACCCCTAGGGAAGGTTTGTCCCTGCAGGACTCCCGCGGGAGACATGGCAGTTCCTGGGGTACGGAGGCGGGCCACACATCTGTCGAATCTCCCGGGAGATATCCCGCAGAAGACGCACACAGGATACACGTATTACACGGAACGCCGATGCCTCCGTCGACGTCGTTACATCGCGCGTTACATTGCATGTGCTCGATTCTCTGGGTAGATTACACCCCATACTTCTGCCACATGGACAGTTAAAGGGAGTGGCGCGCAAAAATTCTCTGGAGAGAACAAAGCGCTTTTAATGACATTAAATTATTCAGTTTACAAAGTGTATTGGTAAAAAAAAGCTTGTTGACAAACTTGTGAGTAATTAAACATGTGTAAATATAATGCGTACTAAAAAGTAATGCGTACTTTTAAAAAGGATTTCAAAGAAAAACAAATGGGAAGAAATAAAATCGAATACTTTCCTCAAAAAAAAAACAGAAAAGAAAAATAAAAATGAAAAGTAACTGTTCCGACGTTCCATAAAGTAAAGTTACACGAGGGATTTTTAAGAAATTTTCTGGAGAAATCGGTTCTTTAAAATAAACAGGAAGGATCTACGATCCTTCTGTTCTTGGGTCCTTAATTTCCAGATTCTTAACGGAATTCTTATCGGCACCCCTGCTCTAAACGGAACCTCGTTACCGTTCGTGCGCAGCCGTAAACTGCGACATGGGACCACCACCGACTCTGTGCACACACTTAGTGGATGCACTTGCAACAAGCCACCAGGGGTAGGAGCTTGTGTATACACGTTGTGTACGCGAAACACATGGGACATGCACGCGGCGGCATCGTTGGAGGCCCCAGCGGGGCCGTGTCGAGAATACGACGTGGAGAACGTCCGTCCGACCCCCGGGGGGCCGCAGAAACACATCAAAATCGAATTCACCAGATGTCCAGGCCGATGCGAGGCGTACCCTTCTCTTTCTCTTGCCTCGGGACACGAGGATGTCGCACCCGCTAACGACGTTCGGGGCGATGTCGGTCGCAGATGCGTTTACGACCGGCGATTTGGGGAAGGAAAAGGATTTGACTCGCGCCCGCGCCACCTGAGCTCGTCCACCCTTCAGTAAGGGCATCTTCATTCTAAGAGAGAAAAAAGAGAAAAGAAAGATGCAGGAGAATATAACTGAAAAATTGATTGTCAATTATAGCCATGATAATTATAAATTTAATTATTAGATGTAATTAACAATTGTAACTTTAAAAATTAGAAGATTCGGTGATTGCGAAATTTTTCAGTTAAAAATATAAATTATTTTATGAACTTGTTGATGTAAAGAGATATCTTAGATTTTTTAATTTATCGATTTTCTCGTTCTTTCTTCCTTTAGTTTATTTTAAATAATATACACTTTGTTAATTCATATATTTAAATATTTTGAAAATATTAATAATATTTAAAAATATTTTTATAAGAAAGATTTAGAAATTAAAATTCAAAATTAACTCACATTTAAATTTAATTATCGATTCGATATCAATAAAGCTTTTTTTATCATAATAAGAGAGAAGACAGAATATAGACATTATTTTAAAAAAATAGATAAATGACGACGTGTAAAATAAGAAATGGTGTGGAATGTAAATGTCGTATTTAACGAAATTTCAACGGAATTTCAGCGATGGATTTGCAAGCGGGATATGGCGCCGTTGTTGTAATTCTGTTACGTCATCATATGCGGCGAGCGTGTACCTGCTTTTCGCTTTGAATTTTTTCGCGCACGTCATTCCGGTATTTAGCCGGATTGCCTTTTGAATAAGTCCAACGCGCTTTTTGACGCGCGAAAAAAGCGCACGCTGTGCGAACCAGCCGACGCGAGTACGTAGGTACACACACATTTAGCGTGGCGTAACGTAATGCAGTGTAATGTGGCACAGTTGATTGGCGGCATATAAACGCGACAACTGCACGCGAAAGCTGCACCCAAAAGCGTATGCAAATATACGCAAGAAACCTGACACAATTTATAAACTACACGCCTCTCTCGAATATGAGAGAAGAATTGATTTCGGTTTAAAATGGAGAGTCATCGCAAAATTTCTCGGATCACCGCGATTATTATTTCTCTTCATGTGGATTTCATCTTTTCGAAACAGGCAAGGTCATCTTTGCCACTTGATATCTACGAACACTTTACCGCGTGACAACTAATAATTTCCTCGTCCTGTTTAAAGGTGCGATCTGATGCCGCGCGCTACTAACAAGTATGATAAACTGTCTTCGGTGACTTTCTCTGTTCCCCCGATACGTGTATCGAATCCACAGCGAAGTATCACGTCGGAGCTCATTAGGATAATGCTACTGAAATCGTCGTGATGACAGTGACATGCCGAATAACGTCTGTCATTGGTAATCTGCAAGGAAATCGAAGACGGTGACACGCGCCAGTAAAAAAACGTAAATGGTTACTTACCTTATTAACTTCCGTCGTCAAGCGGTTTCTCGTAGCTGTCTACCGTTATCTAGATCTGATCGCTGTTGCACATGTACGCTTTCTTAATTAACATAAATCGAAGAATCTATCGCGCCAATAATATTGCCAATCTCGATCGACTGATTGTGATCAAAATTAACTGTTATTGGAGCGACAGACCTTAAACAAAAATGATTAGGTCCATTAGATTTTACGAATAATTCGACTGTACTATGAATGAATATTTTCGTAAAGACGAGTATTCGAAAATATATTATTAGATAATTATTAAATAATATTATTTAGCATTTCAATTTAATTTTTTAATCGTTTAATGTTTTTGTATCTCGTGATTAAAGTAGAATTAATTAACGAATGGACCATTTTTACTAAACAAATAATGAATTATGTTTGCGCAATATATCATTAATTATCATTAGTCAAATACTTTCCTCTGTCCTACACAATGTCACTCGCTCAGTCGAAGGAAAATTGTCACGCGTCGGTCAGAAGGAAATGAAATGCACAGCTCCGTATACGGAAATACGAGGTGGTTTATTATAATAGTATTTATAATCGTTATGCGTCGCGGCGGCGCATCTCTTTCTCGATCTGTCTCACGCTTGATGTGTTGCGTCACAATATACACATATATATTGTGACTATGTGTTGCGTCACAGTATACATACATATGTATATATATATATATTGTTTTACTTTCGGTGGCGTAAGTTCGTGGAGTAAGTCCAGAGCCGTCTCGCGCATATCGGCACGCGCGCATTTCAGCAAAGAGAGAGAATAGAGTGTTTTTCTGAGTGTTCCTCGTGTATTTACATCGATTTCGCCGCTCTTAACAGATACAAATTACACGTTTCCTATTTATATTTATACTTTAATGATAATATTAGTACAGCGCATGTCCAAGTGTGTGGATACGTGTATCCGTGTATCTGTTCGTATGCACGTATGACGTTGCGTGTAAAATGTGTACGTGTCTAGCGATCAGTGTACGCGTGTCATTATCAGGTGTACAACAGCAGATATCTACAGGGTGTCTCCAAAGTAACGTCGAGAAAAGAAAATAATAATCAACAGGGAGGGGGTACAATATTACACGATAGGGACATCTTCGAATTTTATACACAATAATAATAATCAATAATTAATAATATTAATAATAATAATAATAATAATAATGAAAAAATAGTAACGTCGGCGTCGCGGCGCCGAGGTGCGTAATCAATAGCGATAATAAGCGTCGACCGTGCGTCGACGACGATAACTGTGAATCGAGGCGCGCACGGACAAACGTTTCATATCTATATATCTTACACAAAGAACGAGTCGATATTTCTCACGACTCGGTCGCAATTGCGAAACGGAAAGAATGGGAAGGACAGGGACGAAAAGAAACGGAAAAAGTAGGAGTAGGAAGGAAAGCAACGAAGCGTCGAGCCTTCCGTCGCCCTCCGGAGTCCGGACTCGAAATCGCCGCAGTCTCGCAGCCGCAGCAACCGTCGCCGTTGCCGTCGCCGTCGCTGTCGCCATTCCTCGCTCTCGCTCTCGCTCTCGCGCTTCGGCGGCGCGTTCTCGCGATCCCGGTCGGTTTTAGGCGTGCGCGGGCGGAATTGTTATTATCATAAAAGGGACGTTAATTAAAACTCGTACTACCAGGCGAGCCCTTCGCTCTGCATCTGGTGCGGCTCCAGGAACCCGCCTCCCGCGACCCCGCCGCCACTGCCGCTGCCACCGCCACCCGGACCACCGCCGTTCCCGCCGCCGCCGCCGCCGCTTGGATTACCCTGCCCTCCACCTGGGAACAAGCGAACGCGCACGGCGTCGATGCCAATTAAGATTTAAATCCCACTGCGCGCGTAGTGCAACGCGACGCGACGGACCCAGCCGGCGGCCGGAAGTCCCGTGAAAGTCGGCGAGACAATCCGCCGCCGGCAGTTTATAAATATTAACGCGATCTCCGATAGCTGCACTACGCTTTATATATCTCATCGTTGTTGTATCTTTTAAATAAAAACGACTGCCACCGGCTCATCTTTTTGTCTTATCTATTGCATGCATGTCATATTCGTCGTACAAAAACAGCAAATGAAAGTCTGGGTTAGTTCTAAAGTTAGCTTTTAAAAGTTTTTAAATTACACATTCGATCATAGATAAATACAAATTATTTCTGAATTCACGAAATTCTTGAATGTATTAAAATTCTTGAGAGTCTCGAATAGTCGCAAATATTTAAAATAATCCAAAGCAATTTGATATTGAATTTATCGATAGTTGTAAAACTCGAATGTTTTAGATATAAGTATAAATGCTTATATGAACTTTCATAGTTATTGGTTCGTAAATAATAGATTTATTAGGCGATAAGATATAATTCGCAAACAATTGAAATGTACTTATCAGTTAATTGCAAATTAAGTTGTTTAAACTCTAGAAGTTAACTGCAAACGTTTCAATTGAGGACTCAAAATCCAAAAACGAAAAGTTTGCAGTTAATTTAGTTGGTGAATAAATTCCAATTGTTTGTGAATTATATCTAATTATGTAAGAATCTTACACATTGAGAGAAAAATGTTTGGTATTTGTAACTATAATTACATATTACTATAATTATGATTATTATTGCTATAATAATAATAACAATAATTATGTATACATATAGTTCTAGCAACAAATGTATATAGTTGGTAACCTAAAATGACTATAATTATAGTTATTATAACCATAAAATAGTTGAAATTACCATATTTGTTATGGTTGTCCCAAAATATAACTATAAAATTATAGTCACTTGAATCATTTTTATAGTAATTTCAACTATTTTATGGTTATAATAACTATAATTATATAGTCATTTTAGGTAGCCAATTATATACATACTTACTGTTATTATTATTATAGCAGTAATAATCATAATTATAGTAATATATAATTATAGTTACAAATACAAAACATTTTTCTCTCAATGTGCATATACTTGATTTATTCTTGGAGGCGTAAAACTCTATTTTAATTTTTATTTTAATCGAATATTATACCGTTCTCAAGCAGAACAACAGGTTACGATAACGTCAACGTGACGTAAAAATGAATCATGAGTAATCGGAAAATGACTTTTAATAATCATTTTGAACGCATTTCGACATTTTGATGTAATCATGACTTTTTGTTCTGCTTGGGATTGTTTTTTTACAGATATTTTATATAACGTAACATTTTGCTGTCATATATTTTAACGAGTACGATAAAAGTACCAGTGTTTTGCGAAATTTTCAAAGTTGATTTCAGGCTGCCAGAAGCCACGTTAGTTACATTAAACGCTGCTTTACAAGTACCATGGTTATTAATGCGACTATCACTAACTGCACTTTCCTCGACGAATTAATAACGCGCATATGTATGACTTGATTGATACACCGGTGACAGTCCGGATAAGACACATATGCGTATTTGAGGCGCGTTAGAAAACGTGAATTTCAATATTAGACGTATCGCAAAAGGTCACGCCAGGTGATTGCCAGATCTCAATTATCCATACGACAGGCTCAAAAGGAAATGACATTCACGCTGCTGTAGTGCAACTTTGTGTAGAAAATCCTAGTCGACTAGAAATCTCTTGCGCGCGCGTGTCTTTCGTGCACGAAATAACGTTGCGACGGTACGTGAATAATAAGCGCGATGCTGCACGATAAAAATGATACCGCGTGCAAAAGGTTAACAGCAACGTATAATTTTCATTTCAACGTGAAATGTTGAATAGCGTGAAACAGTTTCGATTCGATATCGCGAGACTAAAGCGTTCCTAATTAACACGACACGGCAACAGAGATGTGTATAATAAATCGTCACGAATATAATCGTCACGAAACAGGCAAAGTGAAACATTATATAATCTGCTCTTTCTCGACTACTGATTTGTGCGTACTATTGGAAATGGAATTGAGAAAAATAATTAAGACAGACATCAATATATATTTAAATAGTAAAAAATTGATATATTAAGATATGGACGTTTAATTCTCGGAGGAAAAAAGTAACTGGACGTTGTCTGTTATAAAGAAACGATCCGTGCGGAATATTATTCTTTGGTGCGAGAAGCAGGTCGATCTCCTTCAAGCGCTTGCGAGTTAATGGTTGCCGCCGCATCGCGAAAACAACACTAATAAATCGGCGCGAGCGCAAACATAAAGTCCGCTCGCGGGCAGACCCAAGGTAGATCGGCGATCGCGATTCGGCCGATTTTCGGTGGTAATGATTCGGAGGGGATATTTCCCTCTTACCTGAAGGTGCCAGGAACTCTCCGGGGCTGCCGCCGGTGGGCGCAGGGGGCCCCTGCCCGGGGGGCCCCGTGAGAAATTCCGGAGGGCCGCCCCCCGCGCCCGGAGGTGGGTATTCCCCTGCCACCGCCACTGCGGCTGCCATGCCCGCTAAACTGGCCGGGTCCAAGCCTGTCAGAAACAGATTACGTACTGCTCTCAGAGGGGATCTCGTATCCGCTCGGCCATCTCCGAAACCGGCTGTCATAATTATCGCGGGGGCCTACCTACTTGATTCGAGGTTTATTATAATTACGCGAGATTCCGGGACTAGGCTCTCTCTCTCTCTCTCTCTCTCCGGGCTTCGTCTTTCGTAGAGATCGGCCGTTTTTTACTTAAAGTTTTTGTGAGCGAAACAAAAGCCGTGTGATTAATAAAATAGTGGAATTCTATGCAGAAATTCGATTTTAGAAAACACAAAGAATTGATGAAATATTTACGTAACAAGAGACCTTCGATATTTTCGAAGTTTCCGCGTCGATTCTAATCTTGCATTTTTCTGCCTTAAACGCAAGACTAGAATTTATTTTAGCTTTACTATAAAAGGTGCTAAATCATCGGTGATGGCAGGAGATTCACCTGGATTTCCCGTACCGGCAAAATGCGGTCCGTGCGGATGCGGGGGTGGATGCGCGCCGAAGAACTCGTGATGAAAAGCCACCGGGCCGCCGTAGCCGAATTCGAATTTGTCCGGGCCAAAATACGGGAAACCGGGCGGTGGTCCATCCTCGCCTCCGAGGGCACCTGGGTTCAGATTCAGCGGGAACCCGCGCATCTTACGCGAGCCCCCGAAGAAGGGGTTCCTGCCCATCGACGTCAGCTGCTTCAGCCTGCGCTCCTTGCTCCTCTTGTTCTGGAACCAGACCTGAAACCAGCGAGTCGGCCGCCTCTTTAATCGCTGAATTATTTAACGATGATCTCCCTTTCCTTCGCTGCCTTTTGATTTTGAGCACGGTTGTCTCACAATATAAATTGCTCTAAGAATAGATATTAGTATGAGAGGTTTTTAAAAAATGTAAAAAAATTATTCTCATCAGTTTCTCTTTATTGTTTCCCGTTTCTTATGTTTCATCACTGTTATATAAAACTGTAGAGGCATAGTGTTTTGAAAGAATATGGATCTTAGAATATATATATATATATATATATATATATATATAATGCGATTCTTAGTTCACTTTATTTTAAGATTCTTTTACATTCTAAGACATGAGAAAATCATGGTAAACAATTTTTTATCGATGATACATTGTGAATTAACCAACGATTCCGTCGCGAAATTATTTCTCGGTAAATAATATGATGACGTGCCGAGTAAATTATTCTGCGGCAAATGGTTTGTAGACGCGGTTTTTTTTTCCTACTTGTTCATGATGGCGAAGAATTTCTGAGCGTTGCATCGCTCTTAACGGCGATTTAGATGCCAGCCGCATAAAAGCGTCGCCGATAGCACGAATCGAGATTCACTTCGATATAAATAGCAATTCTCTTCATAAGCTAGAGAATTGAATGCCTGAGTAGCAAGTCTCGTTACAAAAACTGACAATAAGAGAAAAAAAAAGGAAATTATTATTCTTGTTCCATTAAAATATAATTATTTATTTATTATTATTCGATTATCAACTCCATCCTGATTAAAGATTTTTTAAGATTTTGTAAAAGTGTAACAAAGCGTAATAAAATTTCTTTAAATGTAAAACTGTTCTCTTCATTTCGTGGATTTTAACAAAGCGCAGATTTTCTTTGTTTAGTTATCAAAGTATTTAGTAAAATAATAGCGCGATCACAACCTCGCAAAGAAACTTTTCACAAAGAGAAAATAAGTAGATACAATGATAGAGAAACGAGAGAAATTTTAACGCAAATGTGACGAGAGAGACACCTTTCTCACCTGTATGACTCTCATGGGCAGGCCGGTTTCTTTTGCCAATTGCTCCCTAATGTGCCTAGTGGGCTTTGGAGTCGACGAGAAGGCCGTCTTCAAAATCTCCAATTGTTTCGCCTTTATAGTGGTCCGTGGGCCGCGTCGCTTCGAACCGGCGCCGCCGTCGCCGCTGCCACCGCCGGCGCCGCCGTCCGGGCTCTTGTTCTCCGTCTGGCTGTCCCTCGTCTCGGGATCGCCGTCCAGGGAACCTTCAACCGATCGAAGCCGAGCTGCAGCGTCACAATCGTATGACGATCACCTGGGGCCTATCTCGCGCGAAACTCGCAAACGATTGCCAGCGAAATCAGCCGCTACGAGAAGTTCGTGTCTTTCGCGATAGTGAGTTTCATGTCTGCCCACTTTAAATACAATGGCAGAGAACCTAATTCTCGAGAAGATACGGACATGGACTTTTCTAGGATAACTCGTTCGCTTTTTGTTTCCCGAAATTCCTGAGTTGAGTTGCACTAGCAGCCAGAATTAATAAAGTACGTAAAGAACAATTTGTTCTCTTCTAAATTATAGTTTTAAAACCTACGTTATATAAATAGGATAATAGATATAATTTATTCTGCAAAACGAAAGTAAAAATAAATTGCCCGATAATCACTAGACCTAAATTTCAAAAATTAAGGAACCATTATTTTTAGATCGAAATAATGATTCCTTAATTCTGTATCCTCAAACCCTCAATTTTTAACAGAAACGAGGCTGTCATTCACATACGATTTATAGAGACAAGTTATAAAGGTATCGGCATCTCTGATAAAAAAGGCTGACACAATATTTTCAGTGTTACGTTTGTTATTACTCAGTCGTCGATAGCCGAGAGATAGTCAGTTTCTTAATCCCGAACTATGCGTATCCGCTGACGCGTGACTCGTCGGTAACCCAGAAATGACTCGTCATCCTCGGGATACGAGTCATCATTGCGTTACAGGAGTTTCTAAGCGACGCCCGTCGAGTTGCGATCTCTCGTACCGCAATGCTAAAGTTAAATTTTTTAAAAAACGTATTGTCGATCAAGAAGATCAGAAGCCTATCACGCCCAACTAACGGGTGTCTCGATGCGAATATTAAAGACAACAATCTCACTAATGTGTATGCGTGTGTGTGATGATCATTATTTTTAATATTAAAAGATCTTAACAAATTTCAACATGCAACGACATTACTAATTTTTTTGCAACTTTTATCTAACACATAATTCATAATCCATTTAATTTCTATTTGATTTAAATTAAAAAATGTTGTCAACATTACAATGGAAACCAACGGACATTTCAAGGACTTCAGCGCGGACGATGGCTTCCCGACAAACGCGCGCGGAGGGATAATCGACTATAGATTCGTCGAGGTAATCGTAGCTGAGAGGCCACGCGGTAGGTCTAGGACACCCCGTGTATCCCGGTATCTTCATCGGTTGGATCGAGGTAACAACAATCGAAGCCAATCCCCCGGAAGCGATGCGAAACCCCCATCGGATTATCGTGGCTGCTGCCGCGCGCGCACGTTGAAAGCCGTACCCCGCACATACGCGTGCACATTGCATGGTGCCACCATACACGCACACGCACACACACACGCGCGTATATAAGTCCCCGGCTCTCCACGGTAATCTATACACTATACGTATACGTGTATACCGGGTAGGTCTTAACCGCGGGACAAAGAAAATGTTTGGACAGTGTCACACCGCACTACGAGGGCCACCCCTCGTGAAGACGTCCGTTCCCTCCTTTCCGCCCCGATCGGGGGCAACAAGGCTCTTGTATTGCGTGGCTGTATGAGACTCGTGCGAGGGTGAAGCTAGTTGTTGTATGGCTAAAGGACCGATTGTTGTGTGCGCGATAAAAGAGCAGGAGCGATATAATGGACTCGAGACAACTCCTGGCGAAGCCCTCAGCGATTTGTGACGTCGCGATGCCGCGAATTCGTACTCGCAAGGTCTCCAAGGGTGACATGGTGACGCGTAGTCACCGAGGGTAGCCCGATCAAGTCGCTAATCGATTGCTCTTGATCGCGTACTATGGAGTAACTTACGGCGTGTGAATATGATCTTATAGTTTGTTTGCTTGCAGTTTGCTAATATGTAAGTACATGCGTGTACGTGATACATACGGAATGTCTAATCACTGTAATCGAGATGACAGCTTAGATATTTCATGCATGCACTTTGCCCTTTACGCTTGGCTGCGCGATATTGACTTTCGTTTACGATCCTTCACTACTTTTCTTTTTGCGAGATTTATCTTTCGTCTTTTGCATTTGACGTAATAAAGACGTTTTCTTGTTTTATTCAGAGACAGTCAATGCTGCGTAAAACTGTCTAGATGGTAAAAATATGTATCTCCATTTTGCAATATTTATATTTTATCGCTTACATACATCGCTTATAAATACGATTAAAGAGATTAAAGAGAACTTTCCAAGCTATTCACAAAGTAATATTTATAGCGCCTATCGACTAATCAAAAGAATCTATTCTTTTTCAAAAACTAATAGAATTTTATTTTAATTATTAAAGTAATAGAATTTTTTCTAAAAGCATTTAAGAATTTTAAGTACGACCGTGTGAATACATCAAATACGATAAAGAAAGCCCAGATCGGTCAAAGTTGGATGTTTTAAATATATTATATATTCTTATATTAAATTAATTTATTTCAGATATATGGTAATTGCGAGCCGAAAAATTTTCGGTTTCAACACAATCATTCTGAAATAATCTCTCCTAAATTAGAATAGAAAGAAAGAAAGTAAGAAATTTATTGCGAAAAATATTACAATATATTATAGGACCGTATATATATGTGATAACACAAACTACAAATATAGAAATCAAAGCCTTAAACGATTTAGCTAGATCTTAAATGCTTGTATGATTCTTGTGTGAATTTATATACTATGTACGTAGTCCTTAGAAACGCGCGCCGAAATGATTTTTCGGTCTTGTAACGCTAATTCTACTAAACTACCGCAATAAATATCACGTCGCCTAAAGAGACGTTGTTCCTTCATATGCCAATTATTGCGAAGAATATTACTAAGGCCTCGGTAGTCTAAAGGCTTAGAACGCTCACACGGAATGCAAGAGATCCGGGTTCGACTCTCGACCGAGGTAATATTTTTCGCAATATGAATTAATTATTTTACAGATTTTAATATGTTATTCGACATTATTAAGATCGTTTCGAAGATGCGAATAAACATCAAAAATTTATTAAATTGCTAGTCAATTTAACTCGTGATATTACTGCGGTAGTTTAGTAGAGTTAGCTAGACCGTTTAAGGCTTTGAAAAATATTACCTCAGCCAGGATTCGAACCTGGGACCTCTCAACTTTCCGGGAAGAGTGTCTTAACCAGCTCGATAAGTTTCTTACTTACTTTCTTTCTTTCTATTCTAATTTAGGAGGGATTATTAGCGTTTCAGAATGATTGTGTTGAAACCGAAAGTTTTTCGGCTCGCAATCATATCTGAAATAAATTAATTTAATATAAGAATATATAATGTATTATTTGAAACATCCAACTTTGACCGATAGCTTTCTTCTTTATCGTTCTCTAAAAGGTTTTTGGCTCATGAGAATAATCGATTTAACTTAATATAAGATTGATTTTTTATACTTGCGCACACTATTCTACCACAAAATAATTCTCATAAAAATTTTTTTCCAAGAGAAAATTGCATGAGAGAAAACCTCTTTATTACGCAACATGTCGCTACCACTGTTAGGTATCTTATTGTCTTATCTTCAGGAAATAATGAGGTAGGACTTACCTTGATCCTCGGAGTCCTCCTGCTTGCAGGGATCGCTACCGAGAGGTAGTTCGCCACCGTGGCCGACGGTCTGGTCACCAGGACCACCCGGGCCAATGTTGTGGGTCCCGAGGTGAGCACCACGTACGGTCGAATCGTGATGGTGATGGTGAGCACTACCGTCCTCGTCTTCGTCTTCCGATCCTGAGCCCATCAGCGAGTCTCCGCCTGCCGACAGGTTGGACGGTTCTGCTCGTGAACGACGCGAGACACCGGCCTTTTTAATAACATCGACCAACAAACTGCCGATTTCGAAAATAACGATTGCGACAGTTTCTACTCGCGTATTGTCGCAGCTCGCTCGTTTGCACAGAAGCGTAACGAAATACCTCAATTGCCGTCAACAAGATTCTTCAAACGATAGGTTTGTTCACGTTGCTTAAAATTTTCAAAAATTTAGCACTTAAAACGAGATAAAAATATATCCGTTGAGAAGAGAGAAAGCGAAGATACCAAATGCAAAAAATGCAAGCAACACGAACAGACTTCATCAGGGTTGCCACAAATTCCTCATGTTAAAATTCCATTATTTTTCCACGATTTTCCCGACCAGTTTCAATTTCCTTGACATTTCCCTGATTTCTCTGATTTTCAGTTTTGTTGCAACCCTGTTAATAATAATAAAGTCTCTGAAGTTATATACTGTATATATAAAACAATTAAAAACTCTTGCAAGATGATAAAAAAATTTAATTTACTTACTAATCGAAAAATTGTTTTTTATCGCTTCTGTGCAATTGCAAAATTGTTCGAAATCAGCGGTTGAACTTTTAACGAACATGCAGGAATAAATTACAAATTGTCGCAGTATGGATATTATTAATATTCAAGTAAGTAGTTTTATTTAAGTAATTTTTATTTAAGTAATTTTTAATTAATGTTCTGTTAAAATTGTCACTTGAAAGAAGATAGATCACACCGACAATGAGAAATCTGAGATGAAAAAAAAGAATCGATTATCCTTCGATATTATGATCGATATTGACATTTATATATCATACATTTATGAGTAGCATGGTTAAAAATTAGTTACTTGCATATTGACGCAATTGTTCTGTCATTTATCAAGAGATAATAATTGCATTTTATTGACAGAAAATATAATAATAATATTTAACGTCACAATAAATTAATACTGTGTATTTGAAAACTATAAGAAATGCATTGAAACAATTATATATATTTTTTCGGGCGTAATTTAATTGCAGCTATCTCAATTGTAAAGTACGTGCGAGCGGTAAGTAGCGGTTTGAAAGTCGGCTTTTGCCTTCCAGATTTAATGGCGGCGTTGCGCACGAAATACTCCCGACGCAATATATTTTACGACGGGAACCGCCGAAAAAATGGTGTCTCCGGATATTAATCGTCTCTACGAGCATAATTACCGTGCTCTCGTCTCGCGCCACCGAGAGAGAGAACGATGGCCGCGGATTCGACAACCGGCAAATGGCCGAGCGGATGGCAGAGATTAATGTTGAAAAAGTGTCGGGCATCAAGACGGTCATGTCGCTTAATCATCGGCCCGAAATCATCCTGAAGGCTCGCGTCAACATTCTGCCCCCAGTTGCGCGTCGAATTCGTTCTCCACGCGATGAAGATTTCGAACAGTGCTCCATACCTGCCTCTATTGTTCTCGCCAGTTATCAATAATCAGTAGTTGAGGACGGTGGTAAAAAATAATCGATAGTGTTCGTAAAGATGGTAAAACAGATACGAAAGACATTTATATACTAATGATCTAATGCATACAACTCGACTAAATATAAATCTATTTATAAATGTATTTTAGATCACGCTAAGAAAACATCTTATTTTACAGTTATTTTTCAGCAATATTACTATTTTTATTATTTATATCCATAAATAATAATTTTTATTTGTTACTTTATTTTCGCTTCGATTTTTACTGCATTCTCGTTTCTACCTATTGGCTAATCCTTTTCCGCGAAATCTGGCTGTAAAACGTCGGAACCGATCCGAAAAATCATAGAATCCTTCCGCGAAGGCAGCTTCTCGGAGTTGACATTTGACGCGGCTTACGTATTCGTTCTTGCATCCGCAGGTATGCGCTCCAGGATCCCTCGTGACGCCGACAACACGTCGACAGCGATGACGATGATGCTTCACGCGAAACTCATCGACAGCGAGTCGGCGCGACGCGGCGCGGCGCGGCGCGGCGGGCCG